GTAGCAGCCTCCCGAATGAGGTTAGAGAGAGAGTTGAAGATGCAACGTGAGAGGGAAAGAAAAGCAGCCAGAATTGCATTAGAGAAGGTCCCTTTTTAAATTCATTTTTGTATTCCTTGATCCTGTGTGATTCCTGTTATGATTTGCCTCGTTGATACTAAATAAATTTAAATTTATTGACGTTTGTTTCACTCTTATTTAGATGGGAAAAACAGTCTATTTCAACGAGAATCGAGATATTATGGAGTTTGAAGCAATAATTGGAGGCATCAGCATTGGTAACTTGAGAAACTCTCTGGAACAGCTTGGGTTATACATAAAGGATGATTACATGGAAAAAGATGAAGTGGAGGCAATTCAGCAAGGAGAAGAGGGGGAAATTCTTTCGTAATCCTAGCTGCATATATGTGAGGTGTTAATTGTAAATTAGTATTCGTTTTGTGGGCTGTTAGGGAACGAAAGGCAAGATCTCTAATTAGTCAATCAAACATTGTAAGTACCACTAGTGCATATTTTTTGTAGATGCAGTCCAACAAAGATTCAGTACAACTTGTGAATAATTTTTTGTGTATTTAGAATTTGTCTTGTAAATCCGTATGTCCAGCATGGTGCTGCCATTGGATTGAAAAAGCAATGTTATGCCCGTAGGATGGTAGCAATTTACCTTTTTTTTATTTTTTATTTTTTTACAAATTTTTTACAATTTATTTATTTATTTTTCCGGATCAAATTGCTCGTTTGAGCTTAAGGGACTTTGATACAATGTTAAAATTTTGGAGTTTCATCTTAACTGGGTTTTGTAATTGACCTTCCAACTTCCTTGAAGGAGATTGTTGGTCCTCCCATTGTTTCTAGACATTTTATTTTCCAAAAAAGAAATTAATATTCTAACACTCATTTTCCCTCAATTTTTTTGTTAAAATGGAGCCCAAACAAGGACGTGGAGTTGGTGCACAGACTCCATCGAAATAATTACAAAGAGCAATAAAAGGTTGAATTAGACGTTCTTCCCCTTTATGATTATCATATGGTTGAAATGTTGACGTAGAACAAATTGTAGAATGGATTGAAGAATAAGTGAGAGCATTCGAACTTCGGTTTGGATTCATAATACTATTCCAAAAAGAGAAAAAAAAAAAAGACAAGTAGAACACACCATCTCACCGTGACGTGCAATGGATTTTTGCCATCCGAGTTCGTTTAGGACTCGAACACTGTTTTTATTTATATAGACCCTTATAAATAACGAGTTAATTCATTGTTTTTCGTCATTTTACACTAATAAAATTTCTTGAGTTGTTTGTCTACTTGGAATTAGTTTGGCACATGCCCTTGTTGCCTTAATTTGCTTCGTTTCATTTTATTCTTCTGTCTAATGATAATGACATGTAATATATGTTGTATATACAAATAAATTATGAATAATAAAAAACTAATCAACTCAAAGTCAACAAAAACTTAATATGACTATGTTCAAGTCAATTAAGATAAATCAGTTTTTCTATCTTGTATCAACAGCGTCTAACACATATGAGAAGTTCAAAAAATAAAAAATTTAAAAATTTAAAAAATAAAAAATTTCAGGTCATATAGCAGCTATGGAAAACCAAGTTTAAAATTTTATTACAGTCGAATGAATTTTTCCGCTATTCATCAAATCGCTTATTTGCATTAACTCCATTTATGCATTCATTTTTTATTGTCACTTTGATGTTTTTCTCGTGATTTCTCTTGTGATTCATGATATATTCCTTTTGTGATGATTTTGTACTCTAAGGTCCTCTTCTAGTACCCACAGCCGCCACAAATTTAAATTCGTGATTTAATGGAGAATTGTAAGTTCTACAATTAACAATTTTACTACATGTACATCCATTTTGTACTACTAGTTTAATTCCTCCATTAAATGATCCATTGTGACTTCACGTTCCCTTTTCATGAATTCTTCCGTTGATGTCCTTTTTCTATATCCTGATAATGTGAAATTGAGAGTATGAAAAACCCATTTTCAAACATCTATAAGTGCAATATTAATTCACATGTAAATTCATAATCCAAAAATTAAAGTACAAAGAGTTAAATATTTTAATGGTATACACTTACATGTCGCGAGCTGATAACCCCATTCGTATAAAAGTTGTTTGTCTACTTAGAATTAATTTGGCAGTTATTTCTCATTTCTTCAAAAATTTAAAATTTTAAAAATAAAATTTATTGATACTTTAACAAAAATGAAAAAGAAAGGGCCTCAAAATTTCCTATTTTTCTTCAATTAATAACTTGTAATTATTATTATTTACAGTAGGTGCTTCTCAACTAAGTTTGTCCCTTTTTAATAATTTTATTATGGTTGTGCTACATGTACATAATACATTTATATAATGATTTCCTCTTTTAACTTAGAATAATTTTTAAATTACTAACTAATATTATAAATAAATTTTGGATGGCTGTATTGTCATCACAATTTTTAATTGATACATTACATTTTAATTATGGCTACACTCCTCAATTTTTGTTTGTAGTAATTATTTTCTCTAAATTTTTTGTCCAATTCTTATCTTCAACCTTTAATTAATTAGTATAGACCAAAATATGGATTATAAATAGTCAGACAACACAAACAATATATCCTAATGCATGGAGACCAAAACAATGCTTCTGAATAATTGGATTTTCAAAATGATGGAATTCAATAGTTGGAGGACCAAAAACACTATCTCAACCTCGAGGGAACAGACCAATGAAAGGCTTTTCTCTAGGGATTGACTAATAGCTTCACTTGCGATTCTCCCTGTTCTATTGCCCAGTTGCCGATCCACTTATAACAAGTGTGCCATGGTTAGATGTTCCTACGATCATCTCCTCGCCTTATAGAACAAGGATCAATAGTTGGATAACTGAAAGGATGCTTCAAAATAGTTGGAAGACTAAAATAACGCATCTTAGTAGTTGGGGGAACTAAAAAGAAGATAAATGATAGCTGTAGCACCAAATGACTTATTTAAATAGCTCGAGGACCATAACGACCCATCCCAATAGGTGGAGGACTAAAAGCCATCCCCATAGGTGTAGGATCAAAAAGACCCATCCCGATAGATGGAGGACAATAATGACCAATCTCAATAATTGGAAGGTCAAAATGATGCATCGATGTATATGAAGGACCAAAACAATGACCATAATAGATGAAGGAGCAAAACAACACATCTCAATTGATTGAGGATTTAAAATATATAGTTCAATAGTTTGAGGACCAAACCTGCACATCCCAATAGTTGTAGGACCAAAATAACTAATTTAACTAGTTGGAGTACTAAAACAACGTATCTCATAAAATGGAGGAACAAAACAACGAATTTTAATAATTGGATAGACCAAATGCTGAAATTCTTGGTTGGAGATTAAAACTAGGAAGCTCAATAGATGGACAATCAACATATAAATAATTTGGAGGACTCGAAAGACGTATCTCAATATCTGAAAGACCTAAATGATGTATCTCAATATCTGGAAGACCAATAGAACACATCCACTAGGTGGAGGACCATAACAACACATCTCAATAAATGAATTGTCAAAACAATGGAATTCATTATTGGAGGTTAAAACTAAGATTATCAATAGTCGAACTATTAGAACGATACTATACAATAGTTGGAGGACTAAAACAATTCATTTCAGCATTTGGAGGACAAAAATTATGCGTCGTAATAGATGAATTACCTAAACTGCCGAATTCAATAGTTGGAGTAGCAAAACAATGCATCTCAATAGTTAGAAGACGAAAAAAATGATAATCAATAACTAGAGCACCAAATTGACTCATATTAATAAGTGAAGGACTATAATGTCCCATCATGACAAAATGAGCCATCCATGTAGGTATAGGATCAAAACAACCCGTAATAGGTGGATAATCGATATGGCCCTTGCCATTAGTTGGAGGTTCAAAAGGATATATCTCGATGGTTGAAGGGCAAAAACGATGCTTCTCCATAGTTTAAGGGTCAAGACTACCAATCTCAATAGTTTGATTTCTGAAATTATCCATCCCAATAATTTGAAGTCCAAAACGATGCATCACAATAGATGGAGGGCAAAAACGACATAACTCAATAGCGTAAGACCCATACGGTCCATCACAATAGTTGGGGACAAACAATGTATCCAAATATTTTGAGGACCGAGCCAACGGCTACTATAAATTCAAAAGCAAGCCCCAATAGTGATCCCAGATTCCCAATTCCTAATTTTTACCTTACAACATCAATAGTTTTCCAAACTTCAATTCGAAATATTTCTTGATACAATTTTCAAAAGTTGTTGAAATCAAATTGTTAGTGGATTGAATAGAATTGGGGGAAGGGATTTCGGACACACGATCATCTTGAAAGGTTAGTAAGTGTTTGTGTAAAAACGGGCATTTTATGTTGATTGTTATTTGTACTCAATTTTATTCAAATCGATTGCTGTGAATAATTTGATTTGATCCACAGAATTTATTATTATTATTTTTTTAATTTTTTCAAAAAAAATGTTGTTTCTGGACTGTATTCTTCTTACCCAACAGCGATTTTTCTTGACAATGTCTCTCTTGAATTTTTGATGTGGTTGCTTATGATTTTCCCCTTGCCTAAACCCTAATTACCATCGCCCCTGTAGATTATTGTTTATGTTGTTGCTTACAGATATTACAACTGTTGATTTCGTTATTGGATTATTGGTTAGTTTTCGCGCTATTTTTTATTCACTTATTTTTATTTTTCCTAATTGTATTTATGGAATGTATGGATTTTGTATGTTTTATTTCCATTGATTTTTCTTTTCTTTTTCGTTATTTGATATGTATTTTTTTAATGATTATTGATATTTTGACGTCTACAACCTGTGTATAAAATGAAGTTGATTTTTGATTTTTTATGTTCTGTGTTATGTATTTTAGATTAAAAAAATTAGTTTTGATTTTGAAATGGTTACCTTATACTGTAAAAATTTAGTTTCTTTGTAGTTTCTTTTATCAATTTAATTCACTACTTGAATTATCTATTTCTGTTTGTGAATATGGGTCTGCGACCAAAGTAATAAATTGTGTGGGACATATTATGTGAAATTAACTACAACCAATTCTCATGGTAGGAAGTAAAAAAAACATTTGTTTGCTCATTGTTGGGCCCACAATAATATTTCTTATTGCTTCTAATTAATGTGCAGTGTGTTGTTCAGTCCAACAGTTCTGGTTGCTGAGAATCAATCTTGAAATTTAATCTGCTCCCCACGTCAGCACTTAAAGTTCTTCACTATGGCTGCTGTCGATAACACTGTGCAGGGGAGCATAAAGTTCAAAATCACTTCAAA